CATCCGTGACTAAAGGAGTGGCCAACATAATCTTATTGACATTAGTCATTCCTCCCTCCTCTTCTGGCCCCCAGTCAAACGAAATATGAACCATATGATTTTAAATATATCCTGCTGAGTTTCTCATTCTCATGCATGCGTGTGTGTTTTGCATACAAACACACATGCATGTATGTGTTTATGTATATATGATATATATATATATATATATATATATATATATATATATATATATATATATATATATATATATTTACATGTATATATATATTTTTTCTTTCAACTGCCATTCATTCCAGTGCAGGACATAGGTCTCTCTCAATTCAGTATTGAGAGGTTATGTGTCAGTGTCACCTTTGCCTGATTGAATGCCCTTCCTAATCAACCGCGGTTCGGCGCGTTAACACTTGTGCCACGGCGGTGACTTCCCCTACGACACCTGCGTTTGACTTCTAAGCACTGAGCTATCGCGGCAGTCATATATATATACATATACATATACATATACATATATATATATATATATATATATATATATATATATATATATATATATATACATATACATATACATATATATATATATATATATATATATATATATATATATATATATATATACATATATATATATATATATATATATATATATATATATATATATATATATACATACATACATATACATACATATATATATATATATTATATATATATATATATATATATATATATATATATATATATATATATATATATATATATATATATATATATATATATACAAACACACACTGACAGACAAACAAAGAGAAATGGATAGACCGACAGACAAACAGGAACGCAGACAGATAAATAATCAGATTAAGAGCCAGGCTGGTTGTATACATATAGACATAAGCTGACAGAAAAGCAGAATCAGGACTGAGACGGACATGCATAATTCAGTTTGACAAGCGGGCAGAATCAAGTTTGCATATGAACGAAAAGAAATCCTCTATCCCTACATCCACTCGATGGAAAATAACATAAATTATATTAAACCCTATTTCCACATTATTCATGACGTATTCAATTAAAATATAAATGTATTGGAAAAATAATCTTAATTTTTTCGTGCATTTGCGAACGCTGCGTGACTTTGTTTATTTGCGGCATCTGCGAACGCGGCTCAGCTGATGACGGTGCAGGAGGAACACCTTCGGAAATTTTAAGACACCCAAAATTATTCCCAAAGAAAACGAAACTGAAAGAAATAATATAAAGAAAAGAAAGAAGAAAGAAGAACGGAAATAGATGCAGGGGATATAGACTAGACAATAGTCTAAGACCCTATAAAAGAAGAAGAAGAAGAAGATGCAGGAGGAACACCTTCGGGAAAAAAATCGCCCGAACCTTCACGAAATGAACATCCAAAATAACTTGAAACTTTGAGTGCAGTGAACATAAGGTTATTAATGAACACTGAACTTAATCCAGAGCCAGGAGAAAAGCCTGGAACTCAAAATGAAGTGATTTGCGATTCCCAGTCACAGAGAAGGCCCAAGAGGAAAGAGTGACAGCGAGCAAGGCCCAAATCCCAAGCATCCAGGAAAACCCGAAACCGAAAGGAACAGCACGGAGGCCCAATCGACCACATCCGAAGACCCATCAGCAAACAGGCAAGATAACCCTAATGTTATTATTATAAGCTCAGCGGGTGAAACAAAAACATTAAATTTTGATATTCCCATAAAATTAACAGAATCCATAAACAAATCAGAATTTCAAAAATATGCAATTGAAGACTCCTCAAGAGTACTGGGAACGGGGAAAGCTATCAGATTCGAGGTCAAAGATATCAACAAACTATGATCTCTTAATCAAATTCGGAATCTGGGAGAATGGAAAATTTGTATGCAAACAACCAGCCTCCAGTAAGAATATAGGCTGTTCTTATTGAACCATTGGTTAATATTACCGAGATTGTCGCACAGAGATTGAGCAAAATTGCCATCATATAGTGCATAAAAAATGGAGTAAGAATCAATACAAGTAACTGCAGCGGCCTCATATTTACTGGGTAATGACAAAAATAGGCTCTGCATGGCAACGCTCTGAGGCTAAGTCCCTATTCATGTTTGCTTTGTAAGAACCAAAATAAAAATGACTCGTAACTCATCATTGCGATCTATCAAGTAATCCACGTATTACTACGCCCTTGTGAGAACGATTATTTTGTAATTACCAGTGTCTGTTTTTCCAAATTCATGTATTTAATGAATTCTTTTAATTTTACTCTTCTTCTTTATATAGTGGATATATAGAACAAATAGATATTAGTATGTATCTCAGCCTGATATTTGAGCCCAACAAGTGCCCTAAATGCTGAAAAAAATGGTTAGAAACCAAGGAATTCGGACCATAGACAAAAGCAAAGAAAAGTTTGATCTTTCTCTATATGAAGGTATGTGGTTTTACCCTTGGGGTTCAGGGGCAAAGCCCCATGGCTAGGTAGTATATAGATCGTATTTTTGGGGGTCTAGAGGGCATAGCCCCTGGCTAGGTGCATATAATACTATGGAGGTCCAGGGGGCATAGCCTCCTAGGTAGGCGTATAGCCTCCTAGGTAGGCATATATAATAACATGGGAGTCCAAATTGGGCTAAGATAGGCTAGGCTAGGCTAGGTTAGGTTTATATATTACTAGGGGGTATTGTATGCGCCTAGCCCCCTGGCTAGGCACATATCTAGAAAAAGTATTCAACACAGTAAACCACGATGCTTTTTTAACTAAAACGTCAAATTTAGGAATTACAGGTACTTCATTAAACTGGACTTTCCAAATAAAAATAGGTGAAGAAATATCTAAAAAAGGAAAAATGTCAAGCGGGGTACCTCAGGGCTCCTCAATAACCCCGACATTGTTTAAAATTACCAGGAAGCGTAAATAAGATAATATATGCAGATGATATAACCTTCATAACCATAAGTAAAGATCTGACAGAAGTAACAAATAATCTTTAAAGTATCTTAAAGAATGGGCTACCACATGGGACCTAAAGATAAACTTAACAAAAAGCAAAATAATGTGTTTTACATATAAAAAGATAAGAAATTTATCTAACATAAAAATAGGTGATGAAGAATTGGATTTTACAAATAAACATGACATCTTAGGATTAAGATTTGATGCACCAAGACTAAACTGAAGAGAGCATATTGAAAATGTAAAGATAAATTCTTTAAAAAGAATAGATATCATGAAAAACTATCTTCATACACATGGGGTTCAAATAAAGAAACATTTTAAAAATTTTATAATAAACCTGGCAATAGAATATGGAATATCCATATATGGAAATGCAAAAAACACGAAACTAAAAAAACTAGAAACAGTACAAAATTTAGCATTAAAGATAGCAACTTGTTGTTTCAGATCCACCCCAATAGTATCTCTTCATGCATTAACCAACAGCATATCGATAGAAATAAGAAAAAAAGAAATAGAATGTATACAACTAGCAAAAATACTAGAGAAACCAAATAACACACCATTAACCCATTGCCAATGGGCATCCCATGCCATGCCCACTGTGAGTTTACTTATTTGATTGTTTTTACACATAAATGGCTACACTTATACTAAGTCACCAATGAGCCAATTATGAGTACTGCCTGTCTTGCCCGTTTACCCTTTTCTTTGATTTACAAAAATATTTTACGTTATCTTATTTTGCTGTTACTAATGTTTATAACATTATAGTAATTATAATGTTTATAATAAGAATAACACCATAGATATTCATAGCACTACTGAAAAATGCATTTTTCCGCTAATTAAAGGAAAGGTGAAATCAGGTAAGGCAGAGCCATCTATGTGTAGAGACATTTCACAAAAAAATATAAAAAATGAGCGCAGCATTTTCCTCATTTTTTATTAATTTTCCCTGGTGGCAAAGGGTTTAAACAAATAGTAATAAATAATATCAAAGAATGTAATCCAAGAAAGGATAAAAGATTATTAACCTACAAGGCGTTAGAAACTTGTAAAGAATTAAAACTCAACATAACTAATACAGTATAGAATATAATCCCAGTACCACCATGTTATGATATCTCACAATATGTAGGAACTCAATTTATGAACAACAAACCAAAAGACCTTCCAAAACAAATAATTAAAAAACAGTTTCTGATGTTAAAAAATATAACATATAGAGAACAGCAAGACATTTTCACAGATGGTTAAAGAATAAAGGAACCAGATTCGGTTTCAGCAGCAATATATATTCAAAATGCAAACATTACTACAATCTGGAAGCTACCAAAATATACAAATATCACTGAAGCAGAGACATTTGCAATAAAACAGAGACTGCAATATATTCAGAACAATAAAATATCAAACTCAGTAGTCATCACAGATTCATATTCAGCATTACATTTAATAGTAAACCACATACCTAACAACCACAAACTTATCACTTATGAAATACAATAAACAATTCGCACTTTATCAAAACAGAAACAGAACATCAAATTATAATGGATCCCATCACATAAAGGCATTAGTGGCAATGAAATAGTAGATCAAGCAGCAAAAAAAGCACACAAAATAACAAATCCTACTGCCATAACAAAAGACATTAACAATGTGATAAATGAGATAAAAACAAAAACAGAAAAATATGGGAAAAACAACTAATAGAAATATTAAACACAAAAAACTATTACATCAAAGATAACTAACCTAATCAATGGACAAGATAAAAAAAAAAAAACAGGAAACTAGATGTTTGTTTATCATGTATAAAAACAAAACACACAAGACTAAAACAGCATCTATGTCAAATAAAAATGGAGACAGACCTAACATGCAGATGGTGCCAACACGAAGAAGAAACTATAGAACACCTAACACTCCAATGCCCAAGATTTAACTCTCACAGAATAAAATTATTTGAATCATTAAAAAGAATAAAAATAAATAATCCAAACATGTCTCTTTTAATAACAGGTGCAGACCATTAACCAGCTAAGAAATACTACATATTAAGACACTTCAGGATCTTCCTACAAAGCTCAGAAAAAATAGATATAATATAAAGAACTCCAATCAACAAAGAAGAAGCAAGAAACACAGATCCAGGGAATATTGGGTCTAAAACCCTATAAAAGAAGAAGTAACACTTCAGGAACTCCCGGGAAAATGAGCACTCAACCTAATATGCAAGATGAGATGTGTAAGTAATCTGTGATGATGGTGAGAGTGATGTGATATAAATTGACGGTTATTTTTAGATATATGGGAATGCGGTGTGGATAGTGGAGAGCTATCTTTGACCTCAGGCTTTGTCGAGTGTAAGTCAGCGGGATTGGTTTGTGTTGATGCTTTTTTGACATAGGAGGTTCTCTTATTGCATTTTGTGATATTAAACATCACATTTATTCTATAGAATTGCAGATATGTGTGTATGTGTTTTCAAAGTGACTTTAACAAATTGTTCAGTGGCATAGATTAGGAGAGAGCAGGAAATGTCAATGGATGTATCTTATAGATTGTGAAATTACAGAAACAAATGTCTCAGTTTGCACCCTGATAGCTGTATAATTGTTCCTTACAACTATCCACATACAACTTTGAGTGCTTCTGATTCAGAAATGACCATCTCTGTTACATTATATCTTGGACCTTAGTAGCAAATTTGTTTCCTGAGATGAATTAGAAAGTATATGGGGAGTGGAAAAGATAATATTTTCAAAAGTTTAATTACAATATTTCCATTTATTCATTTTATTTTTGAAAGATGTATAGATGTGTATTTTTTATTTTCATATTTTTAAAAAATAGGGATGTACTTCCATATAAGAGGGCAGTCATCTTATCTTCTTCCTTTGCATTTGGAGGGTCAAGAAATCAAACATTTTGAAGACTTATATGAAGTTGTTAAGTCATGCAACCAAGCCTGGGTCAATACTAGGCTTCCACCAGTTGGCATATGCCTGTGAACTCCTGTTATACTAGGTTGAATTTCCACGAATAGACTGTCACCACACAACTGCTGTGGGAACTGAAAGATGCTTGAAAATTGTATGGTTTGCTTGGCCAGTAAGCTCAAAGGCCATTCTATGTTGGTGCCTCAGGCTGTCCTTGTAGCAAGGATCTTGTACTGGACATATGGTTCCCCATATATCCAGTATATTAAGCTACTAACAGCAGATGATATATAGAGACCCTTGCTTCTTGAAGCCATACTTGAATGTCCCCACATTGCCTGTTCAGTATATAATGCACAAGTACATGTGGCATGTTGAAAATATCACCCATCACCAAAATTGGGTAAAGAAGTCACAAGCATTGATCTGCCATGGTCTTGAGCCAAGCCGGGTCATGCCAGTCTTGGTCCTTGCGTTACTTGTTTTGACAGCACACTAGCTTGCACTCTACTGTACTCTTGATGTCTTGAGTCTCAGGAAACTGGGGTTGCCTTGATCTCCTTAGCCACAGTACCCATATCACTATACCATATCCAGCGATGTGGGTTGGAGCGCTGATACCAGGAGCCAGAGATCCTCATTCTCTGGGACCCATCGACATCAAAGGTAACTGCTCATCCTGTCGCAAGGACTGGATGTTCCAAGTGCCTACCGGATAGCTCGCCTGAGGTTAAGCCTTTGGTGGTTGCTTGGGTGGTGCCACCTCTACCACCCCCATGAACGCTGCACCTATTAAAGGGGGCCGGCAGGCTATGGGCCTAGCATCTACCTGTGGGGTTCCCTAGTGCTTTGCCCCACAGGCCTCATGCTGGCTTGATACCTTCCGGGATGCAGGCGGGACGAGTAACTCACATTACCATCCTGCGCCCCAGCATTTGCCCTCCCAACGGGACCCACAGCCTGCCTCATTTGCTGGGTGGTAGGGACAGCACTCCTCCCCCCAGTATATCCATTTAATTTGGGTGCTGCTGTTGAGTTATCTGGGGTGGAGGGGGGGGGCTGGCAAGGCCAACCTCCCCCAAGCTGCCCATTAACCCCAGGGTGGCTAAGTTTGTACGGAGCCAGGGTGTGTCCATACACCGGGTGGGCCATTGCTCCATACTTTTGGGGCTTCCTACTGATCCGAGATCCTCACAGTTTAGCCTGGGACTACAAGATGCCCAATTTCCACGGGTGGCCATGAGGAGTCACTGCAAAAGTCTCTGTGACAGTGAGGCTGTGAACTGGCAGGATAGGCTTATGCACTAGGCTAGCCATCAGTGGCAGCTGCAAGCGAGAAGGCATGCAAGCACTTAATACTATCTAGGCTACCACACCATCATTTCACATCACTCTGAGCATGAAGCACCCATACTTACAGCTTGTAGCCATTTTAGCTACAGAAATGACAGCTTTTTTTGAATACCTTTCAATATTTTCAGTATTGGTGGAGCGAGTGTTTCTTCGGATTGGCTCGGCAGCAACTGATGATGTTCTCGAGGAAGAGTTGCGCAAGTTCCTGGCTCCTGTTATCCAGAAACTGGCATCCCCACATGAACCTGTTCGGAGAAAGGTTTGAGACTTTATAGACAAATTTATCTAGCAAGCTTTCTGTTACCTAATTTTATAAAATGTAACACAATAATTGAATTTTATAAATATTTAATTGAAACCATTGAATTTAATGTTAAAATTCTCATGTGTATTATTTAGATAGATGTCATACAAATTTGATAAAAACTCTTTATGATATTCAACTTTCGAATCTCAAAGTTAGTGAATATATGATTAATACCATATTTTTTCTTAAGGTCATGGAATTGTTAATCCATGTGAATCGCCGGGTTAAAGATCATGAGTCCATCCAGCTTCCTGTTGAAGCACTGCTTGCCCAGTACCAGGATCCAAGTGCTACAGCATTTGTTACAGTAATTATACCTTTGTTTCCTATTTAGTGTGATTTTTAAAAGCTATTCTGATATTGACCTTGATTGCTTTGTATAATTTATTTAGTTGCCTGCCTAAGTGTTTAACTGGGCAATTTACAGTTTTGATGTTCCTTGATATTGGATTTTTGGTGTTCATCTTTAGTAAGGGAGATTCATTCAAATTTGTGACTGGGTGCCTTGCATGTCATTTATAAACCAAAATCTGGACATTAGAATTACTTGTGTGGTGACTATCATGCTTGTGGCTGTAGGCCCAACCCACATAAACACTTGTGTGGTCTATAGGCTCCTTGCCTCCTCTTTGCAATGCTATTAACCCTTTATCTATGAATGCATTTTTGCTACTTGTAATTTTGTGAGATCTATATTTGTCATTTTTTATACTGTATTATGACAGTGATAGAATAATTTTGTTGAGCAGATCATATAGTCTCTCCAGGTTTAACTCAATACTGCCAGGAAAATGTTGTGCTGATGGATGATACACTCAATCCTTGTGGACTGGTGGAAATCCTACAGGAGTTTGTGAATGACCCCTCTCTGAAATCCTGCCAAGTCAGTCTACATCCAAAGACTCAGATTTAATTGAGTTTACATATTAAAAATTTATATATTAATTTTTTTTACTTATAATTTATGTGAGGGAGTTAAGTAATGTAATGGAATAGTAATGTAATGTGAAATAAAATTACAATCAACCAAAATGAAGAAGAACCACCCCCTTTACGGAGCAAAATCAAGAAAGCCATAAACGAATTGAAAAACAACAAATGCACAGGTATTGATGAAGTTGCTGCTGAGCTTGTTAAGAACACTTGGAGATAATGTCATCTATTTTTTTCCTAGTTCTCTGTAAAAAGAGTTGGAAAGAGAGGAAATGGCCAGAAGACTGGACCACATTAGTTTTTATGCCTATCCTCAAAAAAGGAGATGTAATGGAATGCAGCAACAACAGAACTATATCTTTGATCAGTCACTGCAGTAAAATCCTTTTGAAGGTTATTGCTGGCTGTATGAAAGTCAAACTAGATGAAGAAATCGTAGATGAACAGATTTCGAGCAAACAAAGGCAAATACTTTAAAATTGACAATGGAAAAGCACAGAGAGAGTATTCCATAACCTGTACATGTGTTTCATAGATTACAGGAAGGCATTTGATACAGTTGACCCTCAAACACTATGGTAAACACTGCTTAAGATGGGGTTTCCAGCGCACATAGTCCATCTTATGAAAAAGCTCCATGAAAACCAAAAATCAGTTGTAAGAACCACATATGGCTTAACAGATTTTTTCAACATGGGTAAGGAGTCCACCAGGGCTGCATTCTGTCACCTCATCTTTTCAGTCTACTCAAAGAAAATAATGCACAAGAGTCAAACTGGCAAATGAACAAGCAAAAGTTATGAAGATGGCTTGTGATCCAGAGAACATTGAAATGAGAGACCTCATTGTGAATGGTGAAGCAATAGAAATGGTTGAAAAATTCATCTACCTCGGTACAACATTTACAAATGACTGTAATAACAGCGCAGAAATCAAAAGGAGATTGGCAATTGCAAGAATTCCAGTCATCAGCTTAAGCAACATCTGGAAAGATTGTTCTATCACAATCCAAACAAAAATTTGAATTCTAAATACCCTGGTATTCCTTGTAGCACATATGGTTGTGAATACTGGGTACTTAAAACGTCTGACATAAGAAATTGAACTCGTTCGAGATTTCAGCTAGAGAGAAAGAAAAACAAAGTAATGGTTTCTGCAAAAAATTGTCAAAGCTACTCTTATGAATTCCGTACACAAAAGGAAATTGTCCTTCACTGGTCACATTGCAAGAAGCAATGGTCTGGGCAATGATGTACTCTCAGGAATGGTAAGCGGCAAGAGAAGAAGAGGAAGACTGCAACAGAAGCTGGAAAACGACATCCAAGAAGTTGTAGGACTTTCTATGGTCCAACTGCTAAGACAAGGTACTGGAAGACAACCGTCGCATATTCCATGGCAGGTTAGCCCTGACCCTTCCATTAATGATGATGATGAGGGAGTTAAGGCAACATTTGGGTCAGTCAAGTCATCTGTCTAGAAATTAAGTTTATATTCTAATTGATTTCTTGATAATGTTTCCCAGGGAAAGGGGATCTGATTGGTTATGGTGTGGAAAAACATTGCAGTTGTTGAGTAAACATTGCAGTTGTTGAGTGTTTGTGCTTTGTCTTTTATGGTTACAAGTGTTTTATTATCACTGTATCTTGCCTGCATCTTTTGCTGTATGGAAGGTGTTTACTCATTTGTTAACATTGTTTTGTTGTAATGTCTATCTGATGTATGTTATTTATGAACATCTCTTTAATCTTTTTTTTGCATATTCTCACAATTCCTTGGAAAAGCCAGTAGGAGAGTGTTTATGGAAAGATGTTTTGGGGAGATGCGTTTGCTTATAACAGTAGTGCAAGATTAGTTTGTTCTGTTTCTGTTTGGTTAGTCTGAGATCATTGTGAATAAATATAGTTTTTGTCCTACATTCCAAATATTTGTTCTGGTTTATTTCATGAAATGTGTTAAGGTTATTTAAGTCATTTTGAGAAATGGAGGTCTTTATATGATGGCAGTAAGAAGTGACATGTGGAAATCTGGAATTGGATCCAGTAATTATGCATTTTTGTCAAGATCTGGTTTCAATTTGAGTTCTGATTTGCTGACATTGGGACACCACTATTATAGTGCAGAGTGTAGGAATTTGCAGTTTAGATATTACTGAGTTTCTTGCCATTCTTTGTAAATGTTAAAATTCAGATTCATCCTCACAGAACTTCTCAATCATCTACATCAAAATGGGATATCCACGGTTGGATCTGAATAAGCAGGTGGAGCTTTTACCTCTGATGCTCAACAGTTTGGAGGGAAAACCTCAGCAACATCAAGACAGGTTAGCCAGTCTTCTTTTTTACCATTTTATTATCAGGAAAGTGTAATATGAGATTCACTATCATCCACATCTAAAGATTTTTTAATGATTATGTTTAAAAGAAAAGTAATGTATTGATTGTAAAGAATTTGTTTTAAGCAATAATGGATGAGAAATTAACAGTAGATTTTTTCCAGCCTGCTACTTCTGATGGTACCAGTGTTTGGTCACATGAAAATCCCTGATTCAGCTGAGAAGACAGCTTCATTGCTTGGCTTGCGAGAACGTCCAGGAATAACGAAACTGCTCCTGGATTTCATGTTGGATGTACTGCTTCTACCATATGGGTAAGCTTTCTTTGATGGTATATAGTAGTCTTCCAAGTTACTTCAAAAGTGTCAGTATGCCACATTAGCAAGAGTAGTATAGATACAATATAACAGAGAGTATTTACTATACTTGTTACAGATAGTAAAAACTCTCATTGTTACTGATTGCATCATGACTTTGGTAACCTATTCTGATGCTTATTAGAGCAAGGCCATAGGCCACCTGTATGATAGAACACTTCATTTTCCAGTATTATAATTGATGAATGATTATCAGCCTTTATGCACCATATTAGTGAATAAATAAAGTAGGCACAATAATGGATAGTTGTAGTAATGATTGAGCATTTTTACCTGAGCTGCAATCATTAAATGGTGTTGGTTCTTTCAGGTGCTGTGTGTTTGTAAAAATATGTCATTAATTGGGTTCTCAACTGTATATATATTAGTGTTTTGTGGGAGCAAATAAGTTGGAGAGGGATGTGTAGGGGGGGGCTGTTAGAGGATATATAGTCTTGTATTATGGTCAGATATCTAGTTGTGATGCATATTCAAATTTTGAAATTTATATTTGTAAATGAAATCGCAGACATATCTGCATGTCATAGAAAATGATATTGTTAGAGTATTAACCACATGCTACCGGGGAAAATGCAGTGCTCATATTTTATTTTTTTGTGAAATAGATAGCTCTGCTAGTGCTTAGCCACAAAGGAGTCAATTAGTAGAACTTGTGACCTTACTTAATTTCACCTTTCATTGAATTGGCAGGAAAAATGTATTTTTTACTAAGGCTATGACTCTCTATGGTGTTATTTTTATTATAGACATTATAGTTTCTATACTGTTACAAACATTAGTAATAGCAAAATAAGATATCATCAAATATTCTCGTAAATCAAGGAAAAGGGTAAATGAGCATGACAGACAGTACTTGTAATTGGCTCATTGGTGACTTAGTACAAGTGTAGCCATTTATGTGTAAAAACAATTAATAAAGTAAACTCACAGTGGGCATGGGATGTACATACATGCCATACACATTGGTATTCATTTAATAGGTCAGTTGATCTTTTGGTCTTATGTTCTTTTTTAAGGCAAATCTTTCACTTAAGAAATTATTCTTAGCTTCTCCAATTGATTTACTAACTCAACATCTATTTTTTCAGTGTTACTCCATTATCACAGCAAAGACCATCTGATACACCACAAGATAATTCAGAAGGCCCTCCTGTGCCAGGAGTACCAGCTGGCATGAGCATCAGCAGTTTTAAACGTGTTATGGGAGAGACACCTCCAAAGGCAGAAGATCTGGAGAAGCTGAAGGTGTCAATTATAAAATTCTTAAGTTCAGATGTATTACTTCCATCATCTGTTGTTCTTCAGCTGATTGTCGGTGCTGCAGATACTAGATTTTCAGTGGCAAATGCTGCTGATTTACAGCTGAGAAGAATAGAAAGCAGTGTTGAGTGGAACAGCAGTGCAGTTATTGCACCTCTGTATGTATTGTTCCTTGGTACCTTAATGCCAAAGGATCGAACACCAGCAGACAAATTTAAGAATCCAGCAAATACCAGAATTCGTTTAAAACTGATGCCATACTTTTTGAAATCAAAGGAGGCTTGCAATTATGCCCCCCTTGCTTTAAAGGTATTTTTTGAATGTCTGTGGGGCCAGAATTCAAATGTAAAGCTTAAGCAACAAGGAGTAAGTTTCCTGCATCACATGGCATTCAATGCTGATCAAGAAAAGTTGGCTCCAGTGGGAAGTGTCTTGTTTGGCGGAGTTGTCAAGGTCATTGAAGAAGAGAAGTCTGACCCTAAGCTGAGGTCATTAGCATATGGAGCCTTAGCAAAACTTTCAGTAAAGCTTCCAAGTCTCCTTTTATCTCATCCATCACAACTGCATTATCTTCAGACTCTGATGAATGCACTTACCCAAGAGGAAGGGGATGTATTATTAGCTGTTCAAGAGGCTCTTTCTATGGTAGCTCCTGTATGCAAACAGCTGAATACATCAAGTCAAGATCAGCTATGTATCCTGCTGTCAGAACATGTCCTGCACCACAATGCCCAGTTGAGACGCACTGCAGTTCATTATGCAGCTTCTGTGTTTCCTCATGATCATGTTCCATCAAGATTCATTCTTATGGTGGCCACAGGAGATAGGTTAGTAAAAGATGTATATAAATGTATTTTAATTGGTATTTTTTTAAAGTGATTAAAAATTATTATTGACTTTGAAATGCTTAATTTTTTATATTCTTTCAGCCACGATGATATACGCTTAGAAGCCCGCCGCCAGCTGTATAAACCACTGCAGCAGTCTAAGGATGGAACTCCTACATATCAAGTCCCACCTTTCACTTATGTTATTAGTTATGTTCTGGAGCGTGTCGATGCTCTCCCAAGGAGCAAGTGGATGGATGTAGCAAATCAGCCTGTTCCATTTTCTTTACCAATCATGGAGCAGGTAGGTTTTTCTTCTGTGTATATATAACTTGCTATGTCAAAAGATGTATGTTCTCCTTATTTTTTCTTTCACATGGCAATCAAAAGTAATTAGTTTTCTCTATTCCTCTGAATATATGTATATCTATAGTAAATTATTATTATTATTTTTTTATACCAAATGCCTTTTCAATATTGTTATCATTATATATCATTTATTGTATAAATGATATATATACATTTGTACATTGGTAGTTCTGATAAAAGAATAGTAATTATAACTGAACAAGATTATAGGTTATGATATAACTTGTTGCAGATGTTGAACTACCTAGAACACTGCTTAGCCGTTGAAGCTGGTAGTGAGACCGGTCGTGGAGAAGGCCTGTTCTGGCCTGATCCCCCAGCTGTAGGGAAACTTTTGCAGAAGATAATTGATGTACATAATCAGAAAATTGCAACTGGTCGTATTGAAAAAGGTCAGTCATAATAATTGTGTTGTGATCATTTTGAGTGAAATTCTGATTTGAGATTTTCATTATTTAATGTTTAGATTCCAAATTTTGTGTTATGGATGTTGGTCAGATAGTGTAGTAACAAAAAATTTACTTTGTTCCTTATTATATTATGTTAATGATAGATAGTACAACAGTTACCCATATTTATGTCTTGGGAATAGTCTTATATATTTGCTGTAAGTTTGATCAAAATCATGGTGGTTAACTTGTTAGACTGTATATATATATATATATATATATATATATATATATATATATATATATATATATATATATATATATATATATATATAGTACCAATTCCTGAGCATTTTTTAATATCATATGTAGTGCCTCAGAAAGATTAAGGATACATCATAGAGCTGCAAAGTTCCTAATGAAAACTTGCCAGGTATCCTGAAGTAAAGAAATTATCAAATGTCCATAGAATTACCTATACCCCTTGTCTGTAACTAAAGGGAAATATTGAGCCAACAAGTCTCTTGAGTACTACTTTCCTAGTTATGATTACTAAACTTTATCTAGAAGTGGCAGGATATGAAATGTACAGTGTGGTGATGCATAATTTAATGAAAAGAAAGCAGTTAGCAGTGTGAGACATGCTTATCTAGTAAACATATGTATGTCATATGAAAAAAAAAAGATTTACAGAATCTTTCATAATGAATAGAATAGATGTACTTGTGTTTTAGAGTATGCATCAAGGAAATCAGTCATCCTTGTTGTATAGAAAGTTGACTTTAGAAAAAAATCATATTCTATTTCTCATTTTTGTCATAGGAAACAGAAAAGTTCATATAGTTATAAAAGGTTCTTTGCTGTAGGGTTTTATTTTTTGCTAGTAAAGTATTCAATAGAAATTATTAATAAATATAATTTATTTTGTGTCATTTAAGGAACATTTACTAGTATATGTGAAACAAAAGTGGATTTGTTTTACAATATGAAGTGAGTACTGGTACATTACCATGTTTATTACTAGTGTTATCTTGTCCCTTTTTTATTTTTTTGATGTTCTTCAATGACCTTTTTATTATTTCAGGACCTAATCCCTTCATGCGATATGTTGGTTTTGCGGAGCTTGCAGCCAATGCTTGGTCATCGGCAGCTTTGGAATCTATTCTGAAAGTTGTTGCTGTTGCACCACATCATTTCTCTTCACATTACTCTCGCAAATTAGACTGGATCAGGGTTAGTTTATGATTTGGTTTTAATATTTTGATTCTAAACTTTATCTAGAAGTGGCAGGATATGAAATGTACAGTGTGGTGATGCATAATTTAATGAAAAGAAAGCAGTTAGCAGTGTGAGACATGCTTATCTAGTAAACATATGTATGTCGTATGAAAAAAAAAAAAGATTTGCAGAATCTTTCATAATGAATAGAATAGATGTACTTGTGTTTTAGAGTATGCATCAAGGAAATCAGTCATCCTTGTTGTATAGAAAGTTGACTTTAGAAAAAAATCATATTCTATTTCTCATTTTTGTCATAGGAAACAGAACAGTTCATATAGTTATAAAAGGTTCTTTGCTGTAGGGTTTTATTTTTTGCTTGTAAAGTATTCAATAGAAATTATTAATAAATATAATTTATTTTGTGTCATTTAAGGAACATTTACTAGTATATGTGAAACAAAAGTAGATTTGTTTTACAATATGAAGTGAGTACTGGTACATTACCATGTTTATTACTAGTGTTATCTTGTCCCTTTTTTATTTTTTTGATGTTCTTCAATGACCTTTTTATTATTTCAGGACCTAATCCCTTCATGCGATATGTTGGTTTTGCGGAGCTTGCAGCCAATGCTTGGTCATCGGCCGCTTTGGAATCTATTCTGAAAGTTGTTGCTGTTGCACCACATCATTTCTCTTCACATTACTCTCGCAAATTAGACTGGATCAGGGTTAGTTTATGATTTGGCTTTAATATTTTGATTTCTAAACTTGTAGAATATTACAACTTATTTCTTCATTTTCTTCTTCTTCTTCTTCTTGGCTGTTCTGATCCTCAGGAAACTTTAAGGTCTTTCTGAAAGATGTTTATTTTTACATGTTGGATCTTTACATGATGTAAACATTACTTACATGAGGGAAAATGAATTCTGTAAATTTTAATGGACATTCACTTGAGTTTAAAAATAATTTTTATTGACAGAAATTTCATCATAGGATTTTTATTTCTAAATTTGCCTTTTATTTTTTCAGAAATTTATCTTGCGTGGAGGACACTACGGTGAAGTTGCAGCCCATTTGTTTGGCGTTGTTGCGGGACAAGTTCAAGATCAGCAGGAATTTGAAAAGATTGTTTACCCAGTATCCAATATGAAAAATTTTGTAAGATTAGAACTCGTGTTGTTTTTGGATTTTCTTGTGATTCTGAAAGTAGATGATGGTTCTGATTTGGATTATTTAGAATGTGTGTGTGTGTGTGTGTTTATTTATTTGTTTTTATCCACATAAGACTGATTCTTAACAGACCAAGGTAGACTATGGTATAATATAATGATTTCCATAAGTAAATGCTAGATGAGGCCCTGTTACCCTGGAATATCAGATGAAACTGCTTGAATAGAAGTTTTCTTCTTTTTAACATAATTTGACTTTTACATTCCATGCAGCGTGTTGATAGCCAGGAAAGCTGTGTTTTAGCTGTGGGCCATAGCTATGCAAACAATTTGAACATCATGAAGAAAGCAGATATTGTGTTGGAGGATTGGCCTGCATATGAATCAGTTGTCCATGACTTGGGTAAGCAAGTGAGAAGTTGTTCTCTTATAGGTGTTATAATTTTGTTATTAGATATATGTATTGATAATAATTGCTGCACAGACATTTTGTCTCCATATAGTATCAGTTATATTGCTTACTGTTATTTATTTCATGTTCTCCTACAGTAAAGCAGTTGTTAACTGAAAACAACCCACTGCAAAATGCAATTGTATTAGCACTTGGGGAATTGGCACGGCAAGGTCCCTTACCCCTCCCAGCTGGCTCAGAAGAGGATGAACCTAAGACAGTAACATCTCTTTCCTTGGTCAAAGCACTTGTTACAATCTTTGGGAACAAGAAGATACCCTCAAAGGTTTGTACTTTTTAAAACTGTTTAAAGGCATTTTAGTGGCATAGCTCCGATGCCGTGGGTGGCATCTCTACAGATGTGGCAGATACCTGTTTGGTGGACTATACGGCCACCGAAAAAGCCTGCGCACGTTGGTTTAAAACCATTTAGATGTAATACTGTTCATATGATTAAAATCAGAAAAAAGTTTTAAGATTGTTATTTATCTTATGTATTTCTCTTTTCCTAAAGATAAGGGAACAGTCTGTTGCCACTTGTGGTTACATTTGTGTTGGTCAAGAAGAGTTTCCCCATAAAAAGAAAATACTGGAAGCACTTCTAGCACTTGCCAAAGAGGTAAGATTGACATAATATTTTGTGTAAATATAAAGGTTTACTCAGATTTTCTTGCCATTCTATATTTGAATTGAAAATATCAAAATATGTACTTGCAACATTCCCAATTAACATTGGTCTTGCAGCATGTAACAGAAGAAAGTAATTTTTTTTCCATCATCCCAGCCTATTGCACCTGGGATTGCACACTTTTTATTTATTGATTTCAGTTGTTTGCTGTGTTCCCCATTCTTCAAGGCTTTTTGTACAAAAGTATGAAAAAAATTAGCTTTTGGCAAACTTTCCATACTGTTTGGTATGCCTTGAAGTATGTCATGATACTTGGTTGCAATAGTCAAAAGAACCTGTCCCATAAAATTCATTCAAAAGAAGGTACTAACCTAACACACAACTGAGGGAATCAATACATAAAACCAGTTAGTTTCATCATCGTTTTTAAAATGCCTAGATTCTGCTTGTGAGTCTATTGTAAACGTAAGTTCATTTTTCTCATGGTGAAGGTTCAGTTTTGATGGCACTGATTCTTTATAGGTCTTGTTTCAGGGTTTATTAGCATTTTATATATGTCATCCAAGGTTTTCTTAAATCCTCACAAACCGATCCCATTTCTTTAACCCCTTCCCGACAGATGATGCCGATAGGTGTGAAAATAAACCGCTCGAAAGGTGGCGTGCGGCTATACGCCGCGGCGACACGCCAAAACGCGGCGAGCCAGTAATTCAGGCTAATGTACCGAACTCACGCGCTCAAAGTCAGCGCGCCACCATTGTTTGTATTTCATAATCATTACTGACTATTTTCTTAAGGCAATCTATGTTTCCTTGTAATATGGATTCAATAGAAATATACATACGTGTTTGTGAGAGAAATGCAGTTATCTATAGCCAATCCATAAAACAGATAGAGCGGAGATATAAGGACAAGAAAAGATAACCTTTCAAGCAATTCATCACTTTCCACTTTTTTATTATTCTCATCAATTGATAATATTAGAATATTAGATTTATGCTTGTTAATTTTGCAGACAAATGAAATTGAGATTCATTTTGCTGTTGGTGAGGCCCTTGCTGACTGTGCCCTGGGAGTTACATCACCATCTGGAAGGAATATGTGGACAGAGCAGGATCCTCTGAAGGAGCAGAAAGTAGTAGAGTCAGAAGAAGAAAACATGGAAGAGGTAAGTATATATTCATGTATATTCAAAATCAAAATTTTTACAGAGAAAGTTTATTTGTCCATGGTGAACAAATGAGAATATATTTTTTATTAGATAATGCTATTGATTTGTCATGCATGCTCTTCTTTTCACTGTTTAATTTTTAACAATATCCACTTGGTTATGACATGACAGGAGCCCCTTAATCCTCAGTAAATTAATGACTAAACTTTCATATACAGGGTAGCAGAGATGAGAAAGAGAAAGACACAGATGAGGCCATGGAGAAAGATTATGTGAAAATGGCAGAGAGTGAGTTCTGTTTCTGATGCATTGTGAAAATCATATATCATTTATTCTGTTGTTCATATTTAAGAGTTTTCATGAATGTGATGTGATCTGTCTATATATAAATGATTCACAGAGAATAGTACAGCATTCCTATACAATAATTTTGGGATAGACTATGGATATATTATGCCTATTAATTTTTGCTTTATCCAGAACCAGCAGAGGAGGTAGAAGCCATGGACACTACAGAATCCAGTGATGCCACAGTAGATATGTCACCAGATCAAGATTCAGACCCTGATACACTTACCTGGCTCCTTGGTGAACTTCTTGACAAATATGTATCACAAACACAGCCCAGTGTCAGACAGGTATGGCATTATTGTTAATATTATAGTTAAATAGTTTAACAATTTATGTATCTGAAATGTATGATGGATTTGATGGCAACATAATTACAATGGTTCTTCATTGTTCCAGGCATCCTGCATATGGTTACTTGCCCTGCTCAAGAAATGTAGAACAAAACCCATCATTCAGAAAAGACTGAGTAGGATTCAGTCTGCCTTCATGAATCTTCTTGGAGATAACAATGGTATGATATTGATAAAGATTCATCTTCTTTGAAGAATAGTAAAAGTGCTTTTCTGATCATTCAGCTTTGGCACTTGAGTAGTGTATGATGTAAAGATAATCATGTAAGAACAGATTTATTTATTTTTCTGTCACTTTCAGATTTGGTGCAAGATGCAGCCTCTAAAGGTTTAGGTGTTGTATATGAATGTTGTTCTGAAGCCACAAGACAATCAATGGTGCAAGGTCTTGTACAGACCCTGACTGAAGGGAAACGCACCGTCCGAAATGTGACTCATGATACAAAGATCTTCCAGGATGGAGAACTGGGACGTGCTCCTTCAGGGTAAGTTTCTAATTTTGCACTTCCATTGAAGTTGCAGGATAACATTTGGTGTATGAAAAAAATGCAGTGAGCAGAATTATTTTATATTCTATATTTTTAGTGTTCCCCAGTGAGACATTTTTTTTCTTTATAAATATAGTGGACAGCTGTCAACCTACCGGGAACTTTGTTCCCTGGCAACGGATCTGAACCAGCCAGACCTTATCTACAAGTTCATGAACCTTGCCAACCACAACTCAGTTTGGAATTCAAAGAAGGTATTCATACAAATCAGTTTTGTATTTGATTTAATGTTTTTTTTGTGTAACATGACAAAGCAAAATTAAAAACTGTGTCCTTAAGTAAAAGTTTATAATTCATCTTACATAAAATTTTATTGAGATATCTTATTATAGAAAATTAATTTGTCAAGGAGAGACTCGTAGATCACTACTTAGATTCACTTTGAAATTATTTTTATCATTTTTTATATTTAATTATACATCCTAATATATTTGTTCTTGATTTCAGGGAGCAGCTTTTGGTTTCAGCACCCTGGCATCCCAGGCTGGAACACAACTGGAGCCTTACCTACCACAGATTATTCCAAAGCTCTACAGATACCAACATGATCCAACACCAAAGATACAGCAGCCTATGGCAGCCATTTGGAATGCTCTGGTTACTGATACTGCAAAGACAGTGAGTTGCTTTTGTCTTCTATGTGTTTATGGCTGATAGTGTCCACTTAGCATTTATTCCATATCATTGAAGCACCATATTTAGTGTGATTCTAGACAAGGGGGGTTTACCAATGCCTGCTCAGACCATGTTATTTCTTTCAAAACATTCAAAATATGCTTACAAAAGCTTTGGTTTGTACATGAGAAAGCAACATAAGTTTTTTAATTCATTAACCATATCAGTATTTATATAGTAACTATTGTTTTACTCTCTTTACATTAATAAAAAAAAAATGAATGCAGTGCAAAGTTTTGTAATAACCAAGCCATCTATGTGAAATAAATTAATAAGTAAAAGTTTCAAGCTGAAGAAAATTGTGTTTTGGGTAGCCATTAGATGAAGAAAAACTTTATTTATTTATTTTTTTATTTATTTATTTTTTTTTTTCTCCAAATTTTTGAGTCTAGACAATTGGTCCAGATTTCGAGAATTGAAGCTAAAGATATTCTCAAATGAGAATTAATTGCAATGAATTTTTATAGAAAAAGGAAGAGTTTTATTATTATTACTGTCATCATATTAGTGTAACTATTAAGGGAGAGGAAAAAGGAGAATAGATAGATCATAGATAGACAGATAGATGTATATATTTTTTCTTCACCTTTATTCAAAGAAAGGAACTAAATTAGTTATTTTTAAAATATCCAAATAAGGATAAACCTCTAACCATTCCATATGAGTTAAGATACCTAATTCATTTCATAATAGCAGTTCCTTTCAATACAGTATATGCATTTTTTCAAATCTTGTTATATTAATTCTTTCCTTTTTTTTTCTTTTTCTTTATAGATAGAGAAATATTTTGACCCCATCCTCTGTGATTTGATCAACAACTTGACTCACAGTACATGGAGAGTCAGAGAATCGTCTTGTTATGCACTCTCTGACCTCTTCCGAAGGCAGTCAGCTGTCAATGCCCTCCACCGAATCAACGAAATATGGACCACTCTGTTTCGTGTTCGTGATGACATAAAGGAATCTGTCAGATTGGCTGCTGAGAAAACCTTGCAGATATTGAGTAAAAGCTGCATAAAGGTAATTTTTTTGTGGTTTATTATGTTTTTTCTTTTCTTTTCTTTTTTTCTTTTTTCTTTCTTTCTTTCTTTTCTTTTCTTTTCTTTTCTTTTCTTTTCTTTTCTTTTCTTTTCTTTTCTTTTCTTTTTTCTTGTTGATTTCTCAGATCAACTATTAACCCAATGTTGACAGGAAAATGCCCATTTTACCTTGAATTTGTAGGATTTTCTTTTTTATTTATACTATGAATGTCAATAGTGTTATTTTTATTATTGTCATTATAATTGCTATAATGTTATTGACATTAGTAAGTGCAATATCAGATAATATAAAATATTTTTGAAAGTCAAGGAAAAGGGTAAACAAGAGAGACAGGTAGTACTCATACTTGGCTCATTGGTGACTTAGTACAAGTGGAGGCATTTGTGTGTAAGAACAATTAATAAAATAAACTCATATCATGTCATGTCCGTTTGGTTTGGGTTAAAATATCTTAAGAAAGTAGACCTGCCTCCCTGGTATTTTCATGAGTTGAATATTATCATAACCTTTCATATTCTATTCTATGAAAACCAGCAAGAAGTCAGCTATAAGATAGTGTTTATTATTCATTTTTTAAAAATACTGATTTAGGGCATAGAGCAAAGAAATTGTCATTGATGAAGAGGGTCAGAAAAAAGCACTTTCTCTGTGAATTATATATGAAAAAAAAAAAATATTAAAGTGCGTCCAGAATTGTGAAATTTCCAGATCCAAGTCAGAGGTCTGTGGAACAAGCTTTTATGACTGCTGTGAATAAAAATGTTAATCTCTACTACTTTGCTTTGTAGGTTTGTGAAGGCACTGGTGAAGAGAGCCAGAAAATGCTTAAGGAAGTTCTTCCCACTCTCTTAACTTCTGGCATTACAAGTTCAGTTGCTGAAGTTAGGAGTGTCAGCTTGCAAACTGTTTCCAAACTTTGTCGATCAGGTGGTTCTTTAGTAAAGCCACACCTTGGTACCCTTGTCCCTGCATTGTTGGAGGCTTTGTCTGGGTTAGAATCTCAGGCTCTAAGTTATACATCTGTGAGACTGAATGATGAAGACAGAGAGAAGCTAGACATGGCTAGAGTATCTGCAGCCCGAAGTACACCCATGATGGATACTTTGAATTATGTACTGCAGTTTGTTGATGAGGAGTCCATGGAAAAATTAGTGAGTGGTTTGATAGATGTCCTGAAGAGCTCTGTTGGTCTTGCCAGTCGTGCAGGAGCAGCACATGTTGTAGAGACTCTTACTCACACTTGTCCTCGTCCATTGGAGAAATATACAGGAAAACTTTTGGCTGCTCTAGTAAATGGCCTTAGTGATAGAAATGCTGTAGTCAGAAAGGTATATGCTAATGCTATTGGTAACCTTGTGAAGACTGCTAAAGCATCAAGTGTAGAAAAGCTTCTCACCAAACTTCAGACTTGGTATTTGGAGAAAGAGGAAGATAGTGTTAGAATGAGTGGTGCCCTTACTATGCGCAGCATGCATGCTCAGAATAATGATATAATGAAGCAGCATGCCTGTCAGGCTATGCCTCTTGCATTCTTCGCCATGCATGCAGAAAAAACTCTAGAAGGTGATTCTAATGGTGCTGAAATTTGGGAGGAAATATGGTCTGATAATACCCCAGGCACAGAATCAGGAGTGAGGCTTTATCTAACAGAAATCATTGCAATATGTGAACAAGCTTTGCAAAGTTCTACTTGGGCAATGAAGGCTCAGGCAGGTAGAGCCCTCTCAACAGTCTCAGAAAAACTTGGATCAAGCTTAAACGATGCTTTAGTCCTCTCCTTAGTTACACTTCTTGTTAACAGCTTGCAGGGTAGAACATGGAATGGAAAAGAATCTCTTGTGACAGCTCTCTCAAATGTTTCTGTACATACCAAATCTCATCTAAATACCTTAAAACATCCAGATAGAGATGAACTTTTGGTGGAAGAAGTGGTGAAAGTTCTAACAAGAGAAGCAAGTAAAGAGAGGATGGAATACAAAATCCATGCTATTAAAGCTCTTACCACTGTTCTGGATACTTACCAAATTGATAGATTTGAAGAAGTTTTTGACATCTGCCTGCCATACTTGAGACAAGTGAGTATAAACAACCAAAATACAATATTTACATTATCAGGCAAATATGAATAATTAAAATTGATAAATACTAAATACATTTGTAATTGTGGTAAACATTTAGGGAAACAAAGTTAAATATGAGTGATATTGGAAAGTTAGTTTGTAGTTAATTTTTTTTCAATTTATTATTATTACTACTAATACTACTACTGTTACTGTTATTATGATTATTATTGCTATAATTATTGCTACTACCACTGTTATTATTATTATTATCATTATTATTTTGGCATGTGCATTGATAGTATGTTCTCTGTCCCCAAGGATAAAGAAGACCATGAGGATGGTGAGGAGGAAGAAAGGAACAAGAAGGAGGAGTCGCTGCATTGGGACCTCATAGATGAAATGGTGCATTCCTTAGGTAGAGCCTGGCCAGCAAAGAAAGAGACACAAGGTAATACATTAACCATTAAACACCAGACTTAGTACAACTTATCTCCTGTGGTTGGGGCATGTCAGTTTGGGTAATAGATGCTTGGAGGATGGCTGTGGATGTTCTGATATTTCCTCAAAATAGGTGAATGAAGAGCATGCCAAACTGAAGATGGTAAAGTGTGAGCAGTTCTTGTGCAACTAGCAGACATGAGAGACAGAGTTAGCACATGGGGAGTGGAAAAAGACATGTACATAGATGTGCCATGGTGCTGAGGGGTTAAAGCCAGCATCTGTATATAGTAATTTGATGTACTTGTGCCCTTACTCATGAACACATAGGTGCAAAAATGAAAAAAAAAGGGATGGTATAACATTATCATAAAATCATTGTGAGATTGAGGAATGATCTTGCCTTTAAGAAAAGAATTTGTTTCCACAGTGAAGTACCCTCCAAAAAAGGGAAACAGTCATCTAATTAGTATAGCAATTTTAAGTAAACAACAAAGTCTACGTTCAATTTGCACAACATTTCCATTAATATTTTGACCTTAAAGTAATAGCAAAATTCAGTGTCTAAGCAAGTGATACATTAAAATATTTTTCCTTTTTCTCTCTCTACAGAAAAATACAGTGAACGTGTAGTGGAGATGCTGAATAACAGTGTCTCGCGAGTCCCTCGTAAAACACAGCTGAGCATTGTGGGAGCCCTTAAGCACTTCTGGGGGACTCATTTCCTCCTGAGTGAATTGCCTTCTTCGCTTGGATCTCCTCTCTTCGACCCTCTTCTTCACCATTCGTGCAGGATATTTAACTACTGCTTAGGTAATGAATCTTATT